TTAAAAGATATTCCCGTAAAAGGGACAAAAAAACCATCTCTCTTTTTTAAATTCTCTGTAATTAATATAGTTGGATTATCATCCTCACATGTTGTATTCAAAAGAAAAGAAAAAACATTTATATTATCAAAATACTATTAATAATTAATAAGCACTCTTAGTGGCTTCCATTTTTGGTCCTCTTCTTTTTTTAAACCTTTTATTCAAAATGAAATTTCAAGAATCAGGAAACAAGCGTGTTTAAAAATTGTTAAATAAATTTTTGGAACAATAAAACTATTTTTTTTTAATCTTAAATTATTTTTGTGAATGACTAAAATTGTTTAAGAGACACAACTAAGAATTAGAAAGGGTCGTCAAATTCCAGTTAACATTTTTAATTAAAAAAAATGTTTTTGTTTTTAAAATTTTTAAAAAGAAAAATTGAAAATAGGAGAGTATGATAGTATGGTATAGCACCACATCTATTTGGGCTTCCTTTGTAGCCCGATGCTCAATTGGGCCTAGCATGTAGCCCTTTGGTCCACCAAGTAAGCCCATATACAGAGTAGCCCAAGCCCATGCCCAAAGAAAGCGTGTTCATCAAGCCCAACTCGTAAATCTGAGTTCGTTATGAGCTTCTTCTTCGTCGCCAATTTCCTTCCAATTTTCCGGCAAAATCCGTCTGATCATCAATCAATTCACAGCCACCAAGTAGCGTCATTCAATTTGATAGTTGAGAGCTTGGAAATAGAGAACTAGCTTATCCATGGCGTCCGCAATTCTGAAGCGAGTCAACGCCTCCGCAATGAACTCGCTGGTTGAATCTCTACGAATCGGAGCTTCATCGCGAGCCTATGCGGCGGTGGCGGTCGGGACCGACATCGTCTCTGCCGCACCGGACGTTTCTCTCCAGAAGGCTCGGAGCTGGGACGAAGGCGTGTCCTCCAAGTTCTCTACGACTCCGATTAAAGACATTTTCAAGGTCCGTTCTTAGATTCTTCATGTGTTCCTTTTACACATTCTCTTCCAATGTAATTATTTTACTTTTTGGAGTATTTTGTGCTTTTGAAGAACAAATTGATTGTTTACGCCGCATTTCAACTGAATGTTGAGTTTAACGATTTATATTGATTGCTGATTTAGTCTGTTCAGACCTTATCTTATTGATTCATTGCTCATTACATTTCAGGGCAAGAAGGTCGTCATCTTTGGGCTTCCTGTAAGTCATTCAGAGTTTTACAATTGTATTTATGTTATGAACATGATGAATTCTGTACCAAATAGTTTCGGCGTATTTATCTTCATTTCCTTTTCAACGCGGTTGCTCATGATTAATGTCTCCATTATTGCTGATATGAGGATTCATTTTAGGATTTAGTAACAGTGTTTCGTGGTTTATCTTTAATTTCCGACCTCTGAAAGATTGTTAAATTTGTACCACGACATTAAATTAGAGAACATATGAACTCTATTTTCTGCTCGTTGTTGATAAATATCTGATATTGAATTTGAACCCTGGTGAGATCTTTATTCTATATTAGTTTTTACTAGTTGGACTTAGCCTATTGAACATAGTGAGATGGATATTAGACTAGATATTAGTAAAACCTCTTCTTTGTATCTGGTAAATTAAAAAATAGAAAAGAAGCTGTAGTTATTATCAATATTTAGCAGTTTTAAAGTATAATATTAAATTTTTTTCCTGTTGGAACTTGCTTGTAAGTCATATATATTCAATCTGAATAGATATAACTGATTTTTCCCTGGATTGCTTTAGAACAGTTAAATTAGTTTATTATATGATGCATATTATAGAGTCATACTTCCAATTTACAGGGTGCATATACAGGAGTTTGTTCCCAGCAACACGTTCCTAGTTACAAGAACAAAATCAATGAGTTCAAGGCTAAAGGAATTGATTCTGTAATTTGCGTGTCTGTCAATGATCCATACGCTCTCAATGGTTGGGCTGAGAAACTTGAAGCGAAAGATGCTGTAAGCTAGAGTAACAAGAAAACTGCATAATTTTCTTTACTTGGATTGCAATTTAAACACCGTTTAATAACCATTTCGTTTTTTGGTTTATGCTTTTAAAAAACAAGCTTAAAAACATTATTTTCATCTTCACATTACTTTGTTTTGTTATATAGTTTTATAAACCATTTCAAAATCTAAGCCAAATTTTGAAACAAAAAAGAAAAGTAGTCTTCAAAATCTTGTTTGTCTTTTTGAAATGTTGCTATGTGTTTTCAAAAAATATGGAAAACTTACCAATGAAATTTAAAAAAAAAAAACAAGCATAATTTTTAAAAACAGAAAACTAAAACCGAAATGGTTATCAAACGACTCCTTAGTTATTTGTAGGTACAGTCTTCCCATGCTAACTATAAGTCTATAATTGCCTATACTGCTTTTCGTAATAACGTTTTCCTGTCATTATCCTCTTTGTGCCTGTGCAGGTACAATTTTTTGGGGACTTTGATGGGAGCTTTCACAGGAGCCTGGAACTGGAGAAAGATCTTTCTGCTGCTTTGCTCGGTCGTCGCTCTCAAAGGTATGATCAATCTTATCCTCGACATGCCAAAAAATGTCTGGATTGTGATTATTCAGCTGACTTGGGGCTAGTCTAGTTTTAGCTGGGGTCCTTCTAGTTGGTAGAAATTTCTACTCTTTTGACATTATTCTTGTTTGTAGATGGTCAGCATTTGTTGTAGATGGGACTGTTAAGGCTCTTAACATAGAGGAAGCTCCATCTGACTTTAAGGTTTCTGGTGCAGAGGTCATTTTGGGTCAAATTTAGAGTCAGTTTCCAATTTCCATAGCAACCAACACGAGCTCTTGGGTTCAAAATAAGACCAAGCATGTAAATCAGTGGTGTGTCCCAAAGGATTTTGTTGGTTTGTTTCTCTGAAGTTAATCCCAAGTGACAATTGCTTGGCTTTCACTTATTGTCCTTCTCATATCAAATTATCTGACTCGGATTCATCAGCTTATTAATTGTGGTGGGTAGAAAAATATTTTATGTATTTCAAAAAATGTCACCAGCTTTTCAAAATTTCGAATATAGCAAAATATTTGAATTTTTATTTTCGGAATTTTTATTGTTCCAATTTTACCCTTATGATATCTGATATACACCCCATTTATATCTGATATACATCTGATGTAAATTTGTATATGATATACATCAAATCTATATCTAATATACATTCGATTAACTCTGATATACTTTCCGTATACATTCGACGTAGCTCTAATATACAGTATTAGATGTATCATACCTTATCAAATATACCACTGATATATATCAAATGTACGTATTATATATATATATATGATGTACTTCTAATTTATGATATACTAAATATATTTACAACTGATATACTTATATATCAAATGTTTAATTTTTAGTAGTATATCAGTTGTTTATGACGATTAATATACTAATATTATCAATAATGTTGATTACTATATCACTACTATTTATTCAATATTAATATTAATTAGATACTAAATATAAGAGATATCAACTGTTTAAATTTATAAAGTATATCAAAATTTTAACTTGTCTTTTTGGGTTCACATAAACCTTTTATATAATAACTTTATATTTCAAAAATAAAAAATAAAAAATAAAAAATCTTGCACCATTGTTTTGGTCTGAAAAAAAATATTGGATATAATAGTATGATATGAACACACATATATCATAGTTATATTAGTAGATATAATGATTATATCAAAGGTATATAAGTGGTAAATTAGAAGCATATTAAGTATATATCAGTGTTATGGTAAATCATATAATCATGTAAGAAGTTATATCAGTAGATATCATAGTTATATTTGTGGTATATCAATGGTAAATTAGAGATATATCAAATATATAACACACACACACACACACACACATATATATATATATATGTATGTATGTATGTATGTATGTATTGTATCAGTATGATAAATTAATGGTTATCATACGTATATCGATGATAAGACATGTTAGAAGTTGAGTAGATATTATGGTTATAGCAGAAGTAAATCAATTATATATCATTATTATATTAGTGGTATATCAGAGATATATATCAGTGGTCAGATATACTACAGATATATATCAGATATATTAAAGGGTGAATTTGTAATTTTACAACTGAACCGCCGTTTTTCTGAAAAAAAGTTGTTATATTTGAAAAAATTAAATGTAGTTACTATTTTGCTTATTTTACTAAAAATTTTTGTCGTATTTGCAAGTGTCCCTTATTATTTTGATCGGTGATTTAATCATAAAAGTACCAAGAGAAACCATGCAAATTTAGGACTAAAAATCTTTTTGGCAATATTATGGTACTAATAATGAGTCATTTAAGCTATATTTAAGTTCACAACAAAATCTTTCTTTTGATCACATTCACTGAAAATTGAAAATAGAATATTTTAGGAGATTGTTCTTTGAAAGTATTCTTTCCCAATCCAACAAAGTTAAAAGAGGAACACATTTTCGTGTATTCTTCAAACACCATATTTCCAAACACATTCTCCCCCAACTACAAGCTTTCCAACGAATAATTGTATAGTTAGTTACAAGCGTTCTAATTTTACAAATTGTCAGCCATTAAATTTTTGACGGGTAGGAGAGCATAAATAGATTGAACATGAACGTTTTTGTTGTTCGCCATTAAGTTTTTAACGGATAGGAGAGTAGCGAAAAAAGAGAGATTTTAATTTTTCTTTTCACAAAAATAAATACCTCATGGGAATCAAGTTGTGCAAAAGGACTTTGGTGAGATGTGAACACGGGCTACCATTACGCATTTTACATTTAAGGTGTATTTAGGAGTGATTTTGACATAGACTATCATTGGGATGTTGACTTCTTTCTCATGCAGACCCGAGCTCCATCCAAAATTGAAAAATATACATACATACATTTACATGTCAATTAATAAAAAAAAAGAAGGAAAAACAAAAGATAAGTGGATGGAATATCCAAACCCTAATTTTTAAAAAGTAAGATTCTTAACTCCAAAAACATTTTTTTATAGCCACCATCTTACCATTTCAAATTTAAAAGAAAAAATTTCATTTATTTATAGCCACCATATTACCATTTCAAACTTAGAAAGAGAATTTAATTTATGCATATACATTTGTCACCTCTCCCATCCAATTATTGCCGATAATTTCAACACTTAAATTGTAGTCCATTTCATTTTCTGAATTTTTATAAATTTTTGGAGTTAAATGTACTTGTAAATTTGAACCAGCATTATTTTTTCATATATTCTTCCCTACAGTTATGATTTATGTATGGAGTTGGATATAGAGCTTCTCTAAATCAACTCTCGACAAGCTGGTCTCTGTCTCCCAATAAATTAAATATATTCAGTCAAGCCTCCATCGCTAGCTAAAACTCCCAGCCTCGATCCCAAAGAGATAGAAAGAAACTCATCCACATATAAATAGAGTATCATGAAGCACAACATCAACATTACATAAAATATATTTCGAAATACTCGAAAATTACGCCTTTTTCATTAGTAGAGCTAGAGTTATTTATATATTGAAGAAGAAAAAAGAAAATGCAGGACGCAAACCAACGAGGATGTTGGTTAAGTCATTCTACGTCGCTTGCCATAGTATGCATTCTGCCGAGTCGAGTTGATAAGATGTTCACTTAGATGAGTCAAATCATAACATCCACAAATCAATCTCCTCTCTGCCAAAGAGATGAATTATAATCAGTAAAGATATCAAATATATAAGTTGGGGAGGTTTTCACGAGTTTACATGTGCCTCGGTAAGTTTGAACTTGAACATTTAATGAATAAATATATCAAGCAACCAATAAGTATCTGGGTTAGTTTATGCATATCTCGACTAATCTCATAAGACAACCGTCTAGTCCTAAAACAATTGATAGTTAATGAAACTCGTAGGACATTAAATTCTAAGGTGCTAGCTACTATAATTTGAACTCATTCCCTTCGCATCTTTTACTTTCCTCACATCGTCCTAGGGGCTATTAGGTCAACTCATGATGGTTGTCATTTACGAAGTTAACCCAAAAACAAGAATAACTTTTTCAAGACTTTAAAGTTATCGACCTCAATATTTATGGAGAGGAACTCATCACACCATTCCATTGTTAGCTTGATATTGATTTATGTTAGGCTAACTTCATAAAGTTCAGTACCTGAGAAGGAGAAACTTCGACTGAGCTTGGAACAGTAGGGGAAACCTGTGATGAGGGTGAACCAGTACAGATTCTATGTATTTTATTTGAATCATCTGTGACAGCACTCTCTTGCACTACGTTCTTTCCTTTCGAGGATTTTGATGTACCCCCATTGCAACTGAAAAGAGCAACAGATGCAGCATTCCTTTTTGAAGTCAAATCTAGACGCTCAAACATTCGAGCAACACCAGCAATCCCGGCACTCACTTCGCGCTTTACACCTCTGCTTAGATCCTTCACGGAGCTGTTACGAGCAAGCAGTTTCTCCTTAATACCTTTAGTGCTTCGCCAGATTGATTCCTTGTACCTGTATTAGTACAGATTTAGAAATCTCATTGATGATGTGATGTGAAGAAGCCAATTTTTAGAGAAGCAAACTCCATTACACTGACTTCGTGGAAGTAGAAGAAATTTTGGATTTGATGGAATCAGGGAAAGAGAGCCCCTCAGATTGGTTTGTTTTCTGTTGACTACCAGATGACGTCTCAGTCAGTAAAGCCCTATATGACACAGAAGTGTGATCTATGTTAGACAGTAAAACAAACGAAATCATTACTTGTTTTTCAAGCTTGAGGGCAACTGGAAAATCTAAGGTTGCAATCAATGGAAGAAAGACTTTATTCTTGATAGACCACTAGCAAGGCACTCTCTCTTCTACTGCTAACTTTTTGCATCCCACAGAAGAAAGCAACTCAATGGTTAATTTAACTTATTGTTGGTGTTGAGGAGTAAAAGCATACAGTCGATATACAAGTCCGGGGATGTACCTGGGCGATATTTTATTAGTTCCAGTTCTTGAGAACTCATTGCCATCATGGAGGCCCACAGATGACAAAGCTTGAACATGAAACTCAGATATGGAACCAGGAGATGGTGAATCACTAATAGGTGAACTTAGAGTTGGATCCTGATATCGAGGCGACAATGGGCATGTTTGCTGGGGAACCCCTTCTGGAGATACAAAATGCCTTTGCCTCTCGCTTCTATGAACATACCGAGCTCTGCTAGCTGCAGCAGCAAGATGCTGCATAATCAGGTCATCAAAGTCAGAGTCATCCGAGTGAGAGGAGTCCTGAAGGAGTCAATTTTGCTGGCTTTATAAAAGGTTGACCCTTCACTGAAGCAAAGATTAAGCATAAAGAGGTCCCATAAATTTTCAGATTCATTAGAACTACTCACGTGGTCAACATCAAAGTTTTCATGGAATCGCAGAGAAGTGGATGCAGCAGAAGACATGCTTCTTGACTTTAAAATCCTTTCACTAGCCATGGCCATTATAAGCTCCTGGCTGTAGAATTGTAATAGCAGTTCAGCAAGAGAGAGAGGCCAAGAAAAAACAAATGTAGCACATGCTTAAATCCCTTAGATAGACTGAGGGCATGGAGTGATTTTGGCCATCACTGATTTTTTATCAAGTAAATAACTATTTTTCGGGAGGTGTTTTTCAGTAGTTTAATGATCGTAAAATCACTGAGTAAACCAAACATGAACGACTCAAAATTACTTTTAAAGTGTGGAACCAATCATTAAAATAAAAAATAAAAAAAAAAACTTTTGACAAACTTCTAATTAAATCACTCTTGCTAAAGTCACTCTCAACAGTGCCCTAAGAGAGATAGGACAAGGCATGAGAATTAGAGGAAATTAAGTTTCTACAACAAAATTACACACCCAACAGGATCCTTCAACACTAGCAACTGGCAACATATTGGGCATTCATTGCTTCTTTGAGACCTGAAAGAATCAATACCCAAAAAGTAAGACTTACACCAACTTGTTTTTTAAAAGATCAGATAAAACAAAATCTTCAACAAGCCTACCAATCAAGAATACATTGGAGATGATATTCATGCTTGCAACAGGTAACCTGAAATTGGAACAATAGACAACAATCCCTTAGCAATAGGGAATGAAGAAATGACCCAATCCGATCTCAACTACCTAAAACAGTAATATGATTATTCAGTTCCGGACAAGGGTCGATCTCAACTACTTGAAACTTCTGCAGCAAATTTAAATATCACAATTCTGATGAATATATACTCACTTGAAACGTATACAATACATCCCAACCAAAGAAGCCATACATTCTACAGTATCACTTCACCGGTTCATACCAACAATAAACCACGAGTAAAAGAGCATGTAGCTAAACATCAAGCCAGTAGCTAGCAAGAAATGCTTCACTGATTATCTCATATGAAGATCACAAAATACAATTGGTAGTAAGCTAAAAGACTGCAGAATCAAACTAAATAGGTCAAACAAATCTTCTCCTAGTTTCAGTGTCAGTATGATCTGGAAGAAGTGAAAAAGCTTACAGTGGGAGGGTTGTGGGAGGTGAAGGGGTCGAGGCAGATGCAGCAGGCGTCTTCAGAATCGTCATCGGAAGTGAAATCCGCCA